CTATAACAGAGACCTGGCTCAATCTGAAAGATAGAGAGATGCCCTCTGAATGTCACATATAAGACTATTAATTATTCCACACTGACAGGGTCAACAGGAAGGGTGGTGGAGTAGCGATGTACGTCAGAGACAATTTAAACTGTTGTGTTAGACAAGATATAAAATTAGAAGCGTCAGCCACTGAATCTGTTTGGTTACAGCTTCTTGAGGGCCATGAGAAACTAATGTTGGGTGTGATTTACAGGGCCCCAAATCTTGATAGGGAGTGCGGTAAACTTCTATTGGATGAAATTCGTAAGGCATCTACATACGAAAATGTTGTGATAATGGGGGATTTCAACTATAGACAGATCGACTGGAGCAATTTGACAGGAAATTTAGAGTCAAGTGACTTTCTTGATACGATTCAGGATTGTTTTTAAAACAGTTTGTGACAGAGCCAACCAGAGGAAACAACCTGCTTGACTTGGTTCTTGCCAGCAGGGAAACGCTAATTAATAATCTTGAGGTTAATGATGAGCTTGGGGAAAGTGATCACAAATCACTCAGTTTTAATATATCATGGAATTCCCCTAATAATGGCAATCAAGTCTCTGTCCCTGACTTCCGCTTGGCTGAGTTCATAGGACTGAAAAATTACTTGGGTGGGCTGAACTGGAATGACCTGACTATGGGTCAGGTAGGTGGTGATGACTGCCGAGATGACGTTTTCCAGGGCATAGTTCTAACTGCTCAGACAACTTATGTTCCAAATAGGGAAATCAGATCAAGCAAAAATGATCCTAAATGCATGAATAATAGATTAAAACATCTCATTGGTCAAAAGAGAGGCATATATAGGCAAATCAAAAGGGGAGAGGTGCAATTAAGAAATCAATATATTCAATTAAAGAGAGAAATAAAAAAGGAATAAGAAAAGCAAAAAGAGATTATGAGGTTAAAGTTGCAAGAGAATCGAAGGCTAACCCAAAAGGATTCTTTCAGGTATACAGAAGTAAGATCAGGGACAAGATAGGCCCACTCAAAAATTACTGGGGTCAGCTTACGGACAGTGATAAGGAAATGTGTAGAATTTTTAACAAATACTTCCTCTCAGTTTTTACACAGGAAGATACTAGCGATATTCCAGAAATAATAAATTTTTTTAGAACAGGATGATAATAAACTATGCACGATTAGGGTCACAAGTGACGTAGTCTTTAGGCAAATAGATATATTAAAACCTAATAAATCCCCAGGCCCTGATGAACTGTATGAAAGGGTTCTAAAGGAATGTAAAGAGGAGCTTAGCAAACCTCTGGCTAATCTTTTCAACATATCACTACAGACTGGCATGGTGCCAGATAAGTAGAAAATGGCAAATGTGGCACCTATTTTCAAAGCAGGTGACAAGTCCTTAGCTTCGAACTATAGACCAATAAACCTAACCTCCGTAGTGGGAAAATTTATGGAATCAATAATTGCCGAGGCAGTTCGTAGCCACCTTGAAAAGCATAAATTAATCAACGAATCTCGGCATGGTTTTACAAAGGGGCGTTCCTGCCTTACGAATTTATTAACTTTTTTCACTTAGGTATTTGAGGAGGTAGATCATTTTAATGAATATGATATTGTGTATATGGGCTTCAGTAAGGCTTTTGACAGGGTCCCACATCAGAGACTATTGAGGAAAATTAAGGCACATGGAATAGGAGGAGAAATTTTTTCCTGGATAGAGGCATGGTTGACAAACAGGCAGCAGAGAGTTTGCATAAGTGGGGAGATATCAGAGTGGGGAAGCGTCACGAGCGGTATTCCACAGGGGTCAGTGTTGCGCCCCCTGTTGTTCACAATCTACATAAACGACATTGATGAAACAAGCAAGTTTGCCGATGACACCAAAATAGGCCGTCGAATTCATTCTGATGAGGATATTAGAGCACTCCAGGAAGATTTGAATAGACTGATGCAGTGGTCGGAGAAGTGGCAGATGCAGTTTAATATAGACAAATGCAAAGTTCTAACTAAATGTTGGACAGAAAAATAGCCATGCCACATATAAACTAAATAATGTAGATCTTAATATTACGGATTGCGAAAAAGATTTAGGAGTTCTGGTTATCAGTAATCTGAAACCAAGACAACAGTGCATAAGTGTTCGCAATAAAGCTAACAGAATCCTTGGCTTCATAACAAGAAGGATAAATAATAGGAGTCTTCAGGTTGTTTTTCAACTCTATATATCCTTGGTTAGACCTCATTTAAATTATGCTGCACAGTTCTGGTCACCGTATTACAGAATGGATATAAATGCTCTGGAAAACATACAAACGAGGATGATAAAGTTGATCCCATGTATCACAAATCTTCCCTATGAGGATAGACTGAGGTCCCTGAATCTGCACTCTCTAGAAAGGCGTAGAATCAGGGATGATATGATTGAGGTGTATAAATGGAAAACAGGAATACATAAAGGGGATGTAAATAACGTGCTGAAAATATCTAGCCTAGACAGGACTCGTAGCAATGGTTTTAAATTGGAAAAATTCAGATTCAGGAAGGATATATGAAAGCACTGGTTTGGTAATAGAGTTGTGGATGAGTGGAACAAACTCCCAAGTACAGTTATAGAGGTTAAAACGTTGTGTAGTTTTAAAAATAGGTTAGATAAATACATGAGTGGAAGTGGGTGGGTGTGAGTTAGACCTGACTAGCTTGTGCTACTAGGTCAGTTGCCGTGTTCCTTCCTTAAGTGAATGTGATCTGACCTGACTAGGTTGGGGCATTGGCTTAAGCCGGTAGGAGACTTGGACCTGCCTCGCATGGGCCAGTTGGCCTGCTGTAGTGTTCCTTCTTTTTTCATGTTCTTTAAACAGTTGTAATATTATATGAGCCAGGCGCAGTGACTGTCCGTTTTTTGTTCACGAGGCAGACTGTCTTATCGTATTTTATCTTATATTTGTAGTTTTAACCTAACCTAAACTTAAAAATGGACTGCAAATTCTATATGACGAAGTGACATAGTTATTAGGAGAATGGGCTGATAACACTCATTCTGAGATACTTGTGACAAATACACTATCAATATTCAGTGCCTGAGTAGATCTATAACCTATTATGATCATAAACGTAGATAAGTACGTTTATGGAGTAATTTTCAATGTGAAGAGACTGATGTTGTAGTGGCCAGACTTAGGCTTGGTTACAAGTACTTCTGGCAGTTTGGGAGACACACAGATGATGATCAAACCAAATGCAAAGTATGTGGTCAATCCTATGGTCACTATCTTGAACACTATGTGCTTAATTGTCTACGTATTGAGAAATATAGAGATAAACAGTATAATAACCTATGTGATATGTGAAGATATCGTATTAATGAAAATCAGATATCAGATATATTAAGCAAATTTCTTAAATTTGCTTGGAACCGATAAGTGAACTGTAGATATAAATCCATATGTACTCCTGTTAACCCTTTTGGGGCCTAGTTCCTAGGCATTTTATATATCCATATGCTCTTGCGCTACCGTCCACATGATGGATATGTGGTGCACAATAAATTTACCACTTTAGCGGCTAAATCTAAATATAAAGGGGGTCTAAAAAATATTTCACGGTTTTTGTTTTCGCTTTTAAAACACGCAAACCAACAGCCTGATCTTATTGAAACTTATACAAATTATGCTGCTATGAAAGGTCACGTAGTTGATCACAGCATTGTAAAAAAAATAAGTATTTCAAATTCAGCTTAATACTTATTATTTATTTCAGGCTTAGAACGAAAAAAAATCTCCTAAACGGTTACTGAAAATTGGGTAAAAATTTACCTTTTTTAAAAATATGCCTTTTTTTTTATTTTAATAATCCTATTTCTTAGTGGTACAGAAAAATAAGAATCATTCTCCAAATTTTCTGTTAATAACATTAACAAATTAGAGACTACAAGGCCCACTAAGATACTAAATCTCCTTTTAAGTCACACCAACAATAAATATTTGAAGAAGACTGGTCAAGGAATCCAACGACTTGAAGTTTATTAACTACATTTGTGCACTGACAAATTTGTTCCTTTAAAAATCAATGTAAATAGTATAACAAATTAAACCCCTTCAATTATTATTATTATTATTATTATTATTATTATTATTATTATTATCATAGGAAGTGCATGAGAAATAAAAAGTAATCAAATAGGGTAACTTTCTTGAGTCAAGATCACTATATCAACATCAAGGTACCTCACTCTCTATATATGCAATCTGCGTCTATTTTTTTTTACCGTACACCTATGCTGTTTGTATAATATTTTCTTTTAGTTATACATACTACCTCGCACATCGGCGTCTGAGGTTTCCCTGCCTTCCGCAGTGTCTAATTTGCTGAATTTAATAGACCATTATATTGAGACTTCAGACCAAAAACTAAACCCTGATCCAAAATTTGAACTCATTCTTAAAAGGTAAATTCCCTTCTTCGCAAAAAATATCACTTTTAATTAAAACAACTTACCAATTGTCAATTAACTTTTACTTGAGATTTCTCACAAAAATTGAACGAGCCACAAACTAGCTTCATTTACTAAACATAACCGTTTTTTTCCCCACGTATCCTCGAAGGAATACTATATATTAGAGGCATTCAACGTCTTTCTTTAAACTTGGTAATAACTTGCCTAAGTTCTTAACTAAATTCTTCCTTCGAAACCTTACTAAAATATTTTTTCCTGCAGACAGAGGAAAATAAGACAAACTTGAACTACTTCCAAAGAACTTAATAATCATCTGTACACAGACTTCTAATGTCATACACCATGAATATACACTCTGATATATAAAAATAAACAAAAAATGCACATTGCTTAGCAGCTTTTACATAATATTAATACGCAAATACTAAAAATGTGATATTAAAATTATTTGTTTATATTATGGAAAGTATTAAACTCATGTGTGTGCCATTTATCACAGTGATGTAGTCTGAAACCTACAGCGAGACAGACATGGTGTAGGAGAACTTACCTTGTGCTTGTACGTGTCCAAGGACCACCACTAAGAGGAAGCCAGAGAGCCACGACCTCACCCATGCTCTCTCTTTCATCATTATT